TATAATTTTTTTTTTTTTTTTCAAGAAGCTTTAAACTGTTCATGTCCATACAATGAAAGCTCTAAAAATGACTTTCATTGTATGGACAAAACACAAAGACATATTTGAGAATATCTTCTTTTGTGTTTCATTAAGATGTGTAAACGATTCCAAGATTTTGTTTTTGAATGAACTTTCTCTTTAAGAGAAGAACTAGTGACCTGGATTTTAACACAAACACACAAATCTAGCACAGAACTATTATGTTATTATAGGAAATTTCAAAACCTCAGAAATCACGAAATTCCTTAAAATGGTTTCTAACCATTGATGAATCATTATGAATTGCACATGAAGTTCAAGCATTTGCGTCATGGTGCCACAAATACGTCCTTACAGTGTGTGTCCTAACTAAGATTCACCTGTTTGGTGTCTCCTTGAACTTGTTAAAATTCATGCCGTATGACTGCTGTTATCAGTCATTACAGTCATTTGCTGCATATGCTGTGACTAATCTCCATCTGACTTCACCTCTGACCCTGTAGATGTCACATCAGGGGAATGTCATTCCAACTGCTCTTCTGGCACGCTTGTCAAAGAAATGAATGAAAAGCTCCACACAGTGATATTTCTACACCACCTACTCTTTCATACAGATGATTTTCCTCTCTTTCTTTACTTCTCTCTCACTCAGATTTTTGTGAGTGGATGCAGTACGTCACTGAGCGGGCTGGCAGCTATGTGCCATGTGTGTGTGATGTCTCGCCACCGTCGCGGTGAGAGCGAGTGCCGTCTGACAAACTGTCTGTGCTGTCTGCAGGGGAGGTGAGAGGGATTGCTCAGTGTGTGTGTGTCACTGGACTCTCCTCTGACCAAAATGTGCTAGACTACCTTTCCTGTATTTCACAACAGCCTAGACTAGTTCCTGAAATCAGACACAAACACCTTTCAATATTTCTAGCAGTTTCTCCAGCTCTAGTTTTCATTTGCTGTCTGTCTAATGTGATAGTTAGAGAAGGTAAAAGAAGATAGCAATAGAAGTATATATATATATAAATATGTTTATTCTAACCATTAATTCATAATTAAAAAGAGATAGGAAAACAAACTAAAATATTTTGACACTATATCTTTTTCTTTGTATGTCTAAAGTGACCTGTCAACTCTGTGTGTTTGTGTGTGTGTGTGTGTGTGTGTGATGTCAGAGGGGGCTGTGCACAGCTGTCTATAAAAATGGCAGTCACTAAGGGAATCTGGTGAGAGCAGAGCTTTACAGTTTTATGCATTTATCAATTCATAAACAGACTTCAAGAGAAAGGGGCGAGTGGGCATTGTAAACCAGACAAATTATTTTTGAACTGACAAATGCAGAGAGGATCTAAATCAGAAGGCACGTTTTGAACATCCGAAAAACTACTTTGTAACTCATCCAAACAGAGCATAAACTTAATCATTTTGGATAAAACTAACTATGTCCCCTCTGAGGATCAAAGCAAGGCAAGGACATTTCATCACACTGGTGCTGCTGTCATGGGCCGCTGTGGAGGTGAGTTTCTGTGCTCTGTTTGATGGTTTGAACTTGAATGTGCATCATTATATGCTCATTATCTGACATTCAAGTTGACTTTAATAATATAATTGCCAATAAATGCAGCAAATTACCGTTACCATTTAGGAAACATTAAAAAGTTTTACTGCTCTTTTATAAACTATGATTTGAGACCTTTATTGATCAATGATTTGAATAAAGTCATACTGTTGTAATATGCACTGGTATAAAAATCGCTTAATCACAATGTCAGTTTTCGGTTGCAGATAAAATGTTTACATTAAGCATCTGTTACAGATAAAAGCATTTTAGTACAGGGAGTGACGGGGCATTGAATCCCCTTTTTGCCTTATTTGTGTCAGGTTTTGGCTTACAGACTCAGTACTATTCTTGTATGTGGTCAAATATAGAGGCAGAATTAATTTATAACGACTTTATGGTGGCTGAGGAGGTTACTGCAATTAATCAACTGCTTCATTGCAAAACTATGGCATTTTAAATTCTTTCTTTAATTTTTGAAGTGAAAGCAACTTATTATCTCTTGATTTATGAGATGGAAGAAAGAAAAATCTCTCATATAGTCTAGTGTATTCCAAGATCAGTCCTTATTTGTTTCCTTCTGTGCTTTCTCAGGTGCAAGGAGGCTGTCCACTGAAATGCTCTTGTCCTTCCTCGCCCCCCTCGTGTCCTCCGGGTATAAGTTGGGTTCTGGACTCATGTGGGTGCTGTCGGGTCTGTGCCAGGCAGTTTAACCAAGACTGCAGCCCTACTGAGCCCTGCGACCACATTAAAGGACTGCGCTGCCACCTAGGGGCCGCTGGAGACCCTGACAGAGGCGTGTGTAGAGGTAAGAGGAATAAGGACATGTTAGACCAGGGGTGCCCAAACTCGGTCCTGGAGGGCCGGTGTCCTGAAGAGTTTAGCTCCAACTTGTCTCAACACACCTGAATTCAAGTTTATAGTATGCCTATAAGAGCTTGATTAGCTGCTTCAGGTGTGTTTAATTGGGGTTGGAGCTAAACTCTTCAGGACACCGGCCCTCCAGGACCGAGTTTGGGCACCCCTGTATTAGACAGTACTGTTAATGTTAACTACAATTAAAATATTAAAAATCGTTAGATGATAAACATTTTTAAAAAGCCTAAACTGATTTACTGGTGTTAGTTGGTTTAAGCAAACCAGCCAACAGACCAGACTGGGAGAACCAGCATAACATTATTAACCCATAATTATATTAAAAAATAATAATGAATTTAAATCTGCACTTTTTATATTTATTAATGCTAATCGTGGCACTCGTGATAATCAAGCAATATTACTGTTAATTCTGACGACTAGCTGAAGCTCAAGGTCGTCCATGTGAGTTGGATGGACGGGTCTATCAGCACAGCGAGGACTTTCAGCCAACTTGTGAGCATCAGTGCACGTGTGTGGACGGAGTAGTTGGCTGCGTCCCACTGTGCCCACACCGCATCTCTCTACCCGACTGGCGCTGTTCCCGCCGCCGCCTCACCAAACTGGCCGGCCGCTGCTGCCAGGAGTGGGTGTGTGATGATGACAACCGCATTGCTGAAGTGGATCCGTTGCCTGACGCTCATCCACAAAAGCACACAGACCTAATAGGCAACGAGTTAAGTGTAGCTCCATCTACTTCTTGGGACAGCAGTGCAGGAGCCCCTTATCAAGGTAGATGAATAACATTGCCATTAAAATGTAATGAAACGTTATAGAAAAAAAAACTGAAAGAAAAAAATGACATAAGACATTCTGTATAGCCTACTGTACAGCAGTGTTTCCCAACTTTTGATCACAGAAAAAAATAAAATTCATCATGGTTATAAACACTGGTTATTTTTATATGGTTTTGATATGTTGCTCATAGTTTAGGAATTACAAGCTCATTCAACATATTTTTCTTCTTTTTTTTTCTTAGAGTGGATTTCATCCTTTAAGTCCCACGACTTCCTTCCACCCACCTGCTTACTGCAGGTCACTGATTGGTCCCCGTGCTCAGCCACCTGTGGAATGGGCGTGTCCAGCCGTGTAACCAATAGTAATCCTGAGTGTCAGCTCCTCAGTGAAACTAGGCTCTGTCAGATACAGGAGTGTGGCCTCAACCCTGCACCATCACTGAAGGTAAATGGTGGCTGCAGTCAGATATAATTTTTTTTTAGAATTTTTTAAAATGTAAAGTTATAAAATGATAAAGATTTTTTTAGTAGTGGTAATTTTCTAAATAGTTTCAACATCACTGAATGTGTGGTAAAAAATAGATCTATATCTGGGAATACAATAAATAATATCATATTTAAACAATACAACATTTTCCCAGATATGGATCTATTATATATATATATATATATATATATATACTATATATATATAATTGTTATAACTAAAGCTATTAAAATCTGTTTTAGCTAAATAAATGCATTTGTAAATGTGAATCAGATCTTTATCTGGGAATACCATAAAGAATATAAAATATAAATATACAATTTAAACAATATAAAATGATAAAACAAATAAATGTATACATATAATCATCTGCTTATAGATTTTTACAATTTTAATAATATTACTAATTTTGATATTTTGATTTTGATGTTTGGTCAACGGCTTCTGTTCTGTTATTGAAGTAGATTTCTCTCTCTCATTCCTTTATTCAGAAAGGAAAGAAATGTCAGAGAACCACACGACCACCGAAACCTGTACAGATCGTATTTGCAGGATGCTTCACTGTTCGCCGTTACCGGCCTCGTTCATGTGGATCCTGCTCAGACGGTCGCTTCTGTGTTCCCTCTGTGACACGTACAATCCCTCTACACTTTCACTGTCCCGAGCCAGAACGAGACGACTTTACCCGCAACGTCATGTGGATACGCCGCTGCAGCTGCAGTCAAAGAAACAGCAGACAGGGCCTGTCATCACAAGCAGAGTTCTTCAATCTGCCAAATGATATACACACATACACACACTGACATTAGTTTAAGAACACATTTAAAGGCATTTTCTCAATTTTCTACTGTACCTAATTTTCTGTGGAAATGTTTTAGTCCAGCATTCATCAATACAACAGTAGTCTCAATATAACAATAATATGTATATAAATTATATATACATTGCTGTTATATCAGGTTTGACTGTAAAGCTTATTTGATTTGAGGAAAAACATACCATAGTATAATCCATACCATAGTACATACATAGGCTAATAATTCAATATTCATACCCTTTTGTTGTATTCATAAAACCAAATTTACTGTATATAATGTAAATATGTATTAATCCCACTGTACGTATATGATTATTTCTATTTTATAATATTTAACAGACTTCAGTTCTTGTGAAGTGTCATATTCAAATCTCAATTTTTTGAGGTGAATGGCAAATAACAAATATGGAGCAAATAAACTCATTTGTATAATTACAACAGTTTACACTTTGGCTTTGTGTTCTTTGTGTATGATATTGACAAAATAACAGTGAATAGAATAGAATAGAATAGAATAGAATAGAATAGAATAGAATAGAATAGAATAGAATAGAATAGAATAGAATAGCAGTGAATAGAATAGAATAGAATAGAATAGAATAGAATAGAATAGAATAGACGTGGAATTGCAATACAAATTATGCTGTTTTAGCAATTATGTTATTAATCATAAAAAAAATCTGTCTTCTAAATTACAAAATGTTCACTGATACCTTCATTAGAACACAACATGGCCAGGCCAATTTTTCTAAAGGACTTTTTTGATGTTGCCACTGTTATATTTCCTCTTGTTCAGTTTCTCTCTGCTTTATCTCTGTCTCTTACTGTCTCAGACATCTAAAACTTTCAGCACTGCTATGACAGGGGAACAGGAAATGTTTGAATGTGTTGAGAATGTGCAGGATGGCAGGTGGAAATATGTGATGACTGTACAATCCCACAGATACATTTGAGCCACACACACTGTGAACATTTGTCACTCTTTCATTAGTCAGCATATGTTTTGTCTGCATGTCCGGTAACACACCCACCAGCTTATACAGAATCTATTAAATATGATAGGCTACAGTCACAGTCTTCCATAGGTATGTTCTGTGTGTAGTTAAATCCAGTCTTAAGCGCTTCTTTGAAAACGTTTCTGTATTTAAAGGTTCTGTACGTGACTTCTTTATTTAAATACGCATAAAAAAGTCCATTAAAATAGGGAAGCTATAGGCTAAATAGATTTTGAGCTCCAGATTAAATGTGAATATTAGCGCCCTCTATTGGCTAAATGACACCTGTTCTCCTCAGAAGTGGAAACGATAAAGAACTTCTCTAAGAGTGGAAACTCTTGTCTTCAGGGCTCGAAATTGAGGGGGAATGGCATCCCCAAGCTGGTGGAAAAAAATGACAAATAGCATCCCCCCTAACCATCCCCTTTAGATTGATAATGTTGTGTATTATATACAATTTATCGTGCAAATTAAATGTTAAAATTCTCTACTTATGATAATTCACGAACTAAATAACGGCGAGTGACCAATCAGAACAAGCTGTAACAATGCAAGTTACCATAATTTTTCGTGCAAAATGGTTCAAGCGCAACTTTTGAAGTTCTTTAAAAGGAGCACAACAGAAACAGAAAAGGTATGATTTTTCCTTGATTAGAATTGAAAGACATTCCCCTGACATAATGTTTGTGCTGTATGTGTGACTGTGAGGGACTGAGACGATAGGAGAGCTGACGAGTAGGCCTATGTCACCGACTTTGCAAAAACGCAGTTAGAATACCCTTATAATTCAAGCAATGAAAGAAAAAATACCCATGTATGAGTTTTAATGTTTTTATATTCATTGCACAAGCAATGTACTTTTCTGAATATCAGCACATAAATATGCTAATAATTTTATACAACATTGTAGAGCGGTGTTTCAATCCTTGAATGAATGAATCTGTTTTTGAACGAATCATGTGAGCCAGTGATTGAACGGTCCATTCACTTGTTTCGTTTCTAATTGAATCAGCCGTTTTGAACGAATCGTTTGATTTGAATGATTCAATAAATAGTTTTTAAAACAGGGATTTGCTGACACCTACTGGCGGTTTTATTGTCCTCTTTATTTATCCATGACGGTTCTAAACCAGCCAAGGTGCCAGCACAAAAACACATTCAGCAAAATATTGTTTAATTAGCAGTATTGACCCAAATTCCTCCATTTCAGGCCCCAGAAGGAAAAAAAAAGCTTAATAAGGTTTAGTTTAATTAGACTAATTTTTCATTAAATAAAAACCTTTTTAGACAAATTTTGTAATCATTGTGTAAAACTAGCTACGGGATAAGCCCCAACCCCCCCCCCCAAAAGAAATTGACCACACCATCCCCCCTGAATTTTTATTACAATTCGACCACTGCCTGTATTCATTATCATATTCTATCACTGCGTTGCATAAAACATGGATGAGTTAAGCTCCATTTTATTGTATACATTTGTGATAAATGATAAAAATTCAATCTGAATGCAATATTATGTTTTTATAACACTATTCTTCACCATTCCAATAGAATTTACGAATAATGAAGGTACTTATGGATGGGCATATGATATGGCTAACTAAACAAGACTAACGACTAACGATACCAATGACAGATCTTGTCTAAGTTCAGCATCAAACCCCTTTTTGTAGCCAACATACCAAAATTCCTTTTTTCAGATGTCAAAAACACCTAATTTTTGCGTGTAGTGTGCTCACAAGAGAAAGAGAGAGAGGGGTTATCAAAAAATAAATAAATAAATAATAATTCTTAGTAAGAGGCATCAAAGCAATTTCCACAATGAAAACTGGTCTAATATCGCAGTGTCGTCTGATTTTTTTTCAGTATTCACAGTCCCCCCCACCTTACTGTCAGTCTCTTTATCTCTTTCCCTCCCTGGCTTAGATATTTTCTCACCCATACTGATGTGACCTGTCCATCTCTCATGGTCTTCTCTCTGTCTATTTCCTTTCTCTATCTCATGCAAAGGTTGAGTTTCTATGAAACAATGGGGCCACCAGGGAGATGGGTACCAGGGGGTTGGGGGAAAGGAGGAGGAGGGGGGGGATTCATTTACCTTTGTAAGAGTGGCAGGGGACTCCACAGTGTCTCATCAAAGACCAGTCTGCTCAGGTGATCCCCAAGGCAAAGTGTATGTGTCTAAGAGCTGCTTGCTTTGAAGTCTTTGTATGCAGAGCCTGGATTTGAATAGAATCACACTATTCCCCCCTTTTTTAAACAAATGACATTGCCTTACATCAGAATAGAACTGGTAGATCCTTCTATGACCCATCTTTGACCCCCTCAATGTTCACTTAATTGTGTTCTCATGATACTAACGGGATAATGATTTTGGTTCTGCACATTTTGTTGAGAAATATGTAGCAAAATGCACAATGAACAAATTCAAAGCCAGAATATAGTAAATTCATAGTATATTCTCATTCTAGAGTAGTGAGAGAGAGAGAGAGGAACAACTGGCCAAGCTTAGAAATGTTATTTATTTATTCATGCTTCTAGTTCTAGCCTCAAGTACAAACAAAATAGCTCATAGAATCCTCCACTAGATGGCGCTAGTCCCTTAATACCTGAATAATAACGCCATTGCCATCTCTTTTAAATGCTAGGCCCCAGAATCTGTATATATTGGGGCCCAGCATATGCATATTTCTTGTGTGAACATCCTAAAAAATGTTTGTGAACCTTATACTAGGACCTTGATACATAATTTTGAAACTATATTTATTTAATATTTATTTATTTTTAATCTGATAAATGTGATACTGTCCTTCCTACATGAAAATAAAAATGTAGTATCGAGTATTATATAATGCCTGTCAATAAGACTTGTTGCCAAATTGTGCTATTACCATTAACAGTTAAGCATTGCTTTTGCCTCGCTGGTGTGTTTAGTATTTGACATCATAATACACAGCATGTCTTAGTGGTAGCACTGCCTGTAAGTGAGAGGCCAAGGCCAGTTCATTTAAGCCTGTAATGGTAAATCAAGGCAAATTGGACAGTATTGCATTGGTTAAATAAAGATTTACGGCGCCAGAGTTAATTGGCTTTCCATCTTGGCCAGATGTTCGCAGCTTCGCTCGTGCCGAGAGACGCAGCAAATATAAGGTGAGAGCACGTGGTAGTGTTCAGTTTAACAGCTGCCTGTTTTCCTCTCGCGTGAGCACATCTGTTATTTGGACTGTCTGTTTTTGCATATATTGTCGGTTTCTTTATAGCTTGATGCTATAGAAATCTGTCCATTTCTGTAAGAGCGTAGGTGAATAATTAATACAGCTAAACGTGGACGTGCCAGTCGTCAGCAGGCTTAAATGCTGTGGATAAAGACTGCTCTTAACTCAGCCGTGGTGATTATGGGCAATTTAAATTAGTTTCAAATAGTTTAAAGTTGCCCAAACAGCCATCCATCATCCTGTCAAATGTCACGCCCCCTCGTCGCTCATTGGCTGCGGAGGTTGCACCTATGGCGCGTCATCGGAGGAGTGACTTTAAAACGTTCTCCTTGTTCGTTCATGTGTCATTTCAGCGTGAACTGATGCCAGAAACGAGATTTCGCAGCTCTTAGGAGGTTTTAGACACTAATAAGGAAGCGAGTTATAATAAATTCTAGTTTTAGGAAAGCGCCACAAAGATCATGTGCAAAAGCTCAACACTAACATGAAGCTGACGGCTGCAGCGGAGCGTTTCTACCGAGAGGGACGATTGTGAAGTTTGTTGGAACAAGAGACACTCGGATTATCAAAAGCGCATTTTCTTCAACGCTTTTTGGGAGGACGAAAACAAAATACATATTAAAAGAAAGCCAGTCTCTCACTGTTTAATACTTTGAGAGTGATCCCACCACCGTTTGACTTCTTTCCAGACTGCGTACAAATAACGGTGAGTAAAAACATACAATCGAATGACATTAGTAGAGATTGTGAATAGTAAAGATTGTTTCAATATGGTTGGAGTGGCCCGATGTTTCGATGGCTTTCTGTTTTAACAGTTTCCACAACAGTTCAAACACGCACCTCACAACGTCTAGTCCTATAAGATGTCATTTTGTTGTTGTTTTTTATCATACCTTTTGTAGTTATTTGTCATTTAGCTGCTTTATCTAATGCAAGTTACTCCGCATTTACCAGAGCTGCGTTTCCCAAAAGCATAGTAGATCGCAGACCATTAGTGCAAATATATTGGGGTTGCAAGTGCTACTTTACAAGTTTAGCTATGGACCAAAAAAATGAAAATTTTATTTAGAGTTATATGAGTATTTTTTCTGTTATTTTTGAACAACATCTTAAGCACAACATCGCCAACCTTATTTAATCAAACTTTACATTGCTGCGTAGTGCGTACATTGGCTGCAACTTCTCCGTACAGTAACTCGCACTCAATGGCTTGATCTCAAATCGTAGTGAGCTGCCAACCTAGAGCTGGGCTCAGTTGGGGACTAGGTTAAATGCTGTCTAGGTAGGCAGCACACTATGTTTTGAGACACAGTCTTGGATGTATGCTGTCACTGGAGCGGAGAATTGTGCACAATGGGGAGTTGTGCGCGGAGTGTTAATTAAAAAGAGACCCGTTTTAATGAAACGGCGAAGCGTGTAGTTATAAGGCCCCAGAGCGCATTATTAAAAGAGAAGGATATACTGCTAATCTGCGGTGGTGCCAACCAGGGTTTGGTCATTTGCTCACTGGACTCGCTACTATTTTTAGAGGCTGCGAACCATGGCGTTATGCTCATTTATTGTAATTATCAGCGAGTCAGCGACTCTCACTGGGTTTTTGCGCAGTTATTTGTTTTCTTAAGCGACGTGTTATGACACTTAAAATTCAGTTACAACACAAGTCAGTTTATATTGAAATAGCGAAATTATACGGTCGTTCTCTCGCGTTACCGAGTTTCTATGGTGACCGTAGTTCTCAACAGTCGTTCCGCCCAACAAAAGGAAAAGTTGAGGCGCAATCATAAAACATAATAGTGTGTTCTTAAGTCTCCTACACCATTAGGCTAGTAATTGATGGTATGTGATTTGTCTCGTGGTGTAGACCCATCATTTGCTCCGTCAAGGCAACACCAATCCATCAGTCTGCGCTCGGACAGCGACGGTATTGTGTTTCTCTTCATTAGCTTCTGTTTTTGCCTCTTATTTCATCAATCAGCCCGTTAGTCAAGTGGAACTGAACGAGCCTCCCCCTCTCTGACCTTTCTGATGACAGCGTTTAAATAACGAGAGAAAGAAAGAGAAGAGTTTGGTCTATTTCCAGAGTAGCTCCTCACTAGAAACTAGCAGTACTTGGTTGACCAGTTCATTTTAAACGTTTGGGAAAATATGATGAATGCTCGACTTGAAGACCAGCTTTGTAAATGTAGCCTATTTAATCTAATTTTGCTCCATTAAACTTATATAGGGTATAATAAACTAATAAATGGGTCAAAAAGAGTTAAAGTAAGTCTGCAGAGCTTTTATGACATTCTCCACCCGTTTATCTCATTGGCAGAAATGTTGGCATATATAAAATTCTTTGATAAATCCGCCCATTGATGTGCAACTTTGCACTCCTCTTAAGCAGTATGTATGCCATATTTTGGCTCGCCTTCTAAGTCAGGAATTGGTCATAACACAATGTTGGCCTCAAACAATTTGTCATAACAAAATGTAGGCCTATATCGTCACAAACTCCTGGTACCCTGTGATAACACACTACATTAAGCCTCATAGCTTAAAAAAGGTTGTCGCCAAACGTTTCCTGTGAAGGATTAATTTACCTAAGTTATTAGAGGGATAATGTAATTGTTCTGTATTGAAACAGCCAAGCCTCAAAGCGTGTGATATTCCCCCAGAGTCCCATTCAGCTGCATTGTCTCTCTCGCTCTCAGGTCTGCAGGAAAGGGATGATTAAAAAATGGGGGATTTGCATTTTCATGAAATTAACTGTTGCAAAGTTATTTGGCAGCCTGCTTTGGAATGGCACTTCTGCAGGTGTGTGGGAATGACAATCTGTGGTGCTTGTTACCGGTGTCAGTTATGGGGAAAAGGTCCTGAGGCAAAATCTGTTTGTGTAGGAGCGCTGAATAAATTTACTTTTGATTCAGGTTTATAATCTCGTACAGCTGGTCCCAATGCATTTAATAAGATATGAGGCTCGTAGTTCATGTGAGACTTACAAATATGCCCTACTCTGACATGACAATGAAAAGATTAGAGCCGAGGGTGTCAGAAATTGGTTTAAACTGGTGCCTGGCAAATTCTCCAATAAGAATTCAGGCATGTAGGTTCATGTCAGTTTCGGGATACTCGTGTTTGTGGAGGAAATGCTTACGCAGTGCTCTGAGCGTTGTACTAGACCTGCTTGGTCAGTTTTATCAGGTAAGGTGAGGGAATGTATTGTAAACCACTTACGTGCAAAAGATCTCTCTTTCCAGGTTATTTTTCTACAGATTGCTAGCTTTAGGATTTCCACTTTTTTCTTTTTATTGTATAAACTGTGTGTAAGGTGTTTCCCCAAAAACATGTTTCAAAATTCAAAGGGATTATAGTTCCACCCAAAAATGAATATTCTGTCATTTACTCTGTCATGTTGTTCCAAAACTGTGTGACTTAAGGCTGGAATACACTACATGACTTTTAAAATCTGAAATAATTTTAAAACACTTGGCATTAGTGCTGGGTGGTATACCGGTTCATACCGAATACCGGTGTTTATTTTTGTTATGATATGAATTTTTAAAATACCGCAATACCGCTTAAACAATGTTCGGAACACGACACTGTTTGAAAGGCGTCCCTTTTCCCTGTTGCACTGTGGGTGTTTAGTCACTATTTAGTGTGGTATTTTTTGACAATATTCACTCATCATGACAGTAAAATAGTGCACTCTAAGTCAATATACTGAAGTATTTCCTCTCTCAATCAGTAGAAAATATGGTTAACACCCAGTCATGCATGAAAAAAAAATACCGTCATGTACCGTGAACCCGGTCTAATTTTGAAAAATACAGCAATATAAATTTTTGGTCATACCGCCCAGCACTACTTGGCATTATAAATTTGTAACTTTGTAAATGGCTACTGAGGAAAAACTAGGGATAATACACTAAACGACTAAAACATTACCAGACTTTCAAGTTTTTTTCGAACAAAATAAACTTATGCAGAACACCTCATTGCTTGGAGACACACAACAAATGAAAACAAAAAACGGCTCAAGATATCAAACATTTTTGATATCCTAAGAATGGATAGAATCATAGTCTGAAGCTAAAAATCAGATTCTTTGCCCATCATGCACTATGACATTTTCTGTGAAATCTGTGAACTCCGACTGCCCAAATTCTGCAGACTGGCTTTGACTTTCTGCAACCAGCATCAATTTGTCTAGACTATAAATCGGTGCAAGAATCTGGACAAAAGTTGTGTGGTGTAATTCAGCCTTTACTTTCTTCAGTGTAACACAAAAGAAGATATTTTAAAAGTACGGACAAAACAAACTAATAAAAAAACCATGAGACATTTTTCAAAAATCTTTTGGAAAAACAACATGAGGGTGAGTAAATGATGACAGAATTTTCATTTTTAGGGTAACTGTCCCTTTAGGAACCTACAGTATTGTACCTGATGTTCATGCATCTGTGGGAAAGCGCATGGTGGCCGATATCTTATGTCCGGCACAAGGCTAGGAAGACAGATAGAACCTGAGGAAAGCATTCCCAATCCTTTAGAGCAAAGCACAAAGAGCTTTCCTGTTGCTTTCCTCTCCTTTTTTGACCCCTGGTCGACCCTACCAATCAACAGGGCTCAGTTATGACCTCTAACCTGGCCTCCATCTCCAGTCTGCTGCCGACTGACCTCTCCTTCAGAACAACAGAGGGAGGAAATAACAAGTGATATAGCCTCAGCCAGATGTCCAAAGCCTCTTCCTCACATTGCTGCTGCCATCCAAAAAGAGAAAACTGCACCGTCTGGTCCTCACAGGATTTTGCTGAGGTTTTCCGAATGAATCTCGCTTTGTGTCTGTTCAGAAAACAACGCAGAGATACAAAGTTATTTTTAGAAATAAAATGTGCAAGCATTTCCAAATGTGTTTGAGCATATGTATTGTGCCTCGAGTCTGAATGTCTTTTGCTTAGTTGGACGGTCTAACCTTCTCAAACCACAGTCTCCGTGCTTATTTTAGATAATGTTAGAAAAGGTAATATGCTGGCCCGAAGCTAGACATACTTAAAACTGTACTAGTATGTGTGTGTGGTGAGGATGGTTAGTGGTTAGTCTGAATTCATCCTTTTGGAAGTGCACAAGGTGGTTTATTGAGAACGGGAATGGTTTGCTTTCCTGCAGGGAAACGGCTGGTGAACAGTAACTCATCAAGGGAATACACTCGACATAAGTGAAAACATACTCGAACTAGGGGTGTGCGATATATATCGTCTGCGATAATATCGTAATTGTTGTTTTAACGATGTGCGATTTGACATTATCGAGTATTTTGCAAAAACCATTCAAAACATCCCTACAGAGCGCACGCATACATTACGTGAAGTCTAGCCTAGTGCGTGTGTGCATTCAGTGTGTTTTCTTTCACAGCATGATTCAGGCTATTAAAATGCATTTAGAATGATCACAAATTCAAGACATGATGGCAGAAAATTTATATATTTATACCACTTCATATAGTTATTCAATTTCACACAAAGAGTGCCGTTTTTCTCCAAAAATTACCATGATTACAAATGTGACATTGAATTCAATAAACAATAAGTTAATTAAGAGACTTACGTTTTAGACACCATATTGCTTGTTTTTGCTCTATTTCGCCAACAAAAATCATTCCGAATACAGCGACAGCGCTGTTTTGTGTCTCTGAGCAACATGACGGTGTTTCGTTCTTGAATTAATCAACCGTTTAAATGATTTGGTTCAATCGCAATCACTCACTTATTAAGAGGGATTTGCTGCCACCTGCTGGCGGTTTTAATTTCAAATTTCGGCTTTTTCTTTCTTTTTTCTTTTCTTTTTTTTTTCATGTTTTAAATAATTTCAAATATCAGTATTCAACGTTTTATGTTTAATATATCAAAACATTATTTATGCATTTGTAATTGCAGGTTAAATGCATTCATGTCTTGCATTATACAAAATACATGTGTGTAAATACATCTAAATGCCACTTCAGATGCAGCTTCTGCGTTGATTTAATTTGCTTGGTAACAGCCCAAATGTCTTATTATTCTAATTCCCTGATTAAATGTAAGAATTTGACTCAAAAGATAATGGACACTTTTAGAAAAAATGGCTTTATAAAGGTAAAAATGCCCATAAAATGCAAAAATCAGTTTAAACTTACTGGAAAAGATTAATTTCTATCAGTATGAACTCACCACCACACAGAATATGAAGAATATAAAAAACATTTGGAGTCAGCTGTCTTCGGCAGTCCTTAAGGTACAAGCACAATAACACACTCAGCAAAATATTGTCTAATTATCGTTATCGATAAAATCCCATAAAATATCGAGATATAATTTTTTGTCAATAACACCCCTAATTGTTAGACAATTCTATATTGATACTATACGATATCTGTCTATGAAAACAAAATGCCTGTGAAAAGGTTAAGTGCATGTTCTTTCTCTACATTAAAGTCCAAACTGCTGAAAATTCTGCCATCATTTACTCACTCTGAAGTAGTTTTAAACGTGAATCAGTTTTTCTTCTGTTGAACATAACCCGAACTACCGCAGCGTGCACCCAGTCTGCTCTGGTCCAGAAACACGATAGCAGAGCGATCATATGTGTGAATCGGAGCAGACCACAAAACGTACCTGACCCATTTGATTTCTACAAAGAATGCTATATTTTAATAGTGATATGGATGAGATTAGGAGGAGAAACTAGGGATGCACCAAAATGAAAATTCTTGGCCGAAGCTGAAAAAGAAACAAAATGAAACCCTGGGCTGAAAGCCGAAGGCCGAATACGGTTTTTCGAGTTTTTTTCCGCCAAGTATTTTGCCAATTTTTTTCACCATTGCATAAATTAAATAGCCAAAATGTGCTTTTTACTATTTTGTCTTGCTTTTCAAAGAAAAAAATCAATTACAAAACAATAATTAAAAAATATTTAACACTGAACATTTTTTAACATTCTAGCAGACATTAAACCAACAAAGCACAATTTAACTTAAAATTAATAAGTTAGTAAAATAATATTTTTTGGCCATCAGACCCCCTTCTTTGGACACTTTTAGAAAAAATGGCTTTATAAAGGTAAAAATGCCCATAAAATGCAAAAATCAGTTTAAACTTATTGGAAAAGATTAATTTCTATCAGTATGAACTGACTACCACACAGAATATGAAGAATATTAAAAACATTAGGAGTCAGCTGTCTTCGGCAGTCCTTAAGGTACCAGCACAATAACACAAAATATCACTTCAAAATATCGTCTAATTATCGTTATCGATAAAATCCCAGAAAATATCGAGATATAATTTTTTGTCAATATCGCACACCCCTGACTCGAACTAAATCATCAGACAGGGAATGACAAATCAGCTGCATTTTCATTTGGAAAACATCATTAACAGTGGTTGGTGTTGTGATTGAGTTCTCATGTTGGTTGAAGGCTGTTTACCACAAGGCATACCAGCTACAAACTAGGACATATCATTAAAAAAAGAAAAGGAGTTGGAGTTTCAATGAGATTGAACAGTGAGAACCGTGGTAAACCAAGGTCATGTTTATAACGTCTCATACAGTTAAGGATAACTGATTCTAGATTAGCATTCTTATTTGGAGATGCCATATAGATATGACCTCAGATCAGCATTCACACGCTGAGATCGCATACTCTGAAAGGGAACAGACTTTAGTTTGTCCTTATGGTTCTAGTTACTGCCATTTGAGAGCAGCACTGCCTCCAGCTGGGCTTGATCTCCACTCATATTTGCAATGAAAGTTCTGGAAATGAGCTGTAGATATAAACAGATAATGTTAAGGCAGATATAAAAATCTGTGGACTACATCATTTCCATAGAATCGCCTGCAGCATGAGTTTTATTATAGTTCCGTGGCAATAATATTGCACTTTAAGATTTTTATTTTATTGAATTTTTTCAACTTTTAACTGTAACTTTTCTTGAGGTACTTTATTGAACATCATGTTTGTACAAGCATATTTTGAATGCATTTATTATTAATACAGATTTAATGTGTTGTTCATAATGTTGCTAAATATTGTTAATAAAATATCACATTTATAACATTGTTATGGTGGTCATAGGTTGTTTAGCAGTGCCTTAAAGAAATGGCTTTATCCGTTACTCATTCATTTCAATAGCACCCTGGTTCTCGAGCTAAGAGAGGTTGTTTTCTGGACAGGTCTTGTGTACCTCTGTACTGGTGAAGCTCTGCCAAGACATACAGGGAAGTTTGCTTTCTGTTTGTCATCTGTTTGCTCTCAGCTTCATTAACAGTTTATGGTATAGACCACATCAATTTTTGCACTGCACTGTGGGGTAAAAATATGTTGTTGTTATGCTGATTATTGTTCCCTTTGAGTGGGAACCTTATTTACTTTTTATTCATTTTCTCCCAGCTAGCAAACATTTTACAGAATACAACTGGTTCCACTGTGTTACATAGAGAAAATAAGTTAAATGTTATAACTGACCCTTATGAGGAATCATTACTTAAAGAAAATAAATAATATTTCAACCTTTTATAAGATATCTTCTGTGGAGGGTTGCATTACTGTTGTTGTGAGCTGACTGGTTGCTACTCTAGTGAACTTAAGAGTATGAATTGTCCTCATTCAGAATACTAAAGAATGGTAATAAACAACAAACATCTTTTTAGATGTAATAAAATGAATGTTACAAAACAAGAACCTAATGGTGACCAGAGCCACGGAGAAATAAAATAGCAAATAGTAAAAAAAAAAAATCACGCACACAATTTGCAACCACATTATGTATTCAACTGGCAGTGCATTCTGGGAAAATTTACAATAGAATACGACCTTACAGTCATTTTCCTGGTCTTGTTTACTGTTATAAACTCTACGTTTTTCCTTTTTCCCTTTCTTTCTTTCTTTTATATGAATTGTTATTGTAATCCCAGTCAGTCTGTTTTATCCTCCTTTTATCTCGTCTCTGGATGGGGACACTGAAAATGCAATCAGCAACAGGGCGAGCAATATATCTGTCCCATTATTCTGCTATGACGTGTCTTCAGGATGATAAGACTGTATTATGGTGATTTGTTTGAAGAGGTTTGGAGGAACAGCTCTAATGGCTGATCTTCTGATAGTGGTAGAACTATGCCTCTGGATAACACAGGCCAGATCTGCTGATTTGCGAGTTTCTCCGCTCTATCCCGCAGGCAGGCGATGGTGAACAGCCGTGTGGAAAGCACCGCCGTTGCGGTAACAGGAGGTAGCGGCGGGGCAGTGCGCTCCTGTGCAGGCTGTGGAGGTCGGATCTCAGATCGCTTCCTGCTCTTCTCCATGGATCGGTACTGGCACACGCGTTGCCTGAAGTGCTCCTGCTGCCAGGCTCAGCTAGGAGAAATCGGCAGCACCTGCTTCAGCAAAGGAGGAATGATCCTCTGCAGGAACGATTACATCAGGTACTAAAAGAAACGGGCAGTCGGGGATTTGGTTGGACTGATGCAGAAATGCTGAATAAGAGCAAATAAATGATGTTTCTGGTCACAGCATCAGTCATAATGTGTTACACAAGAAGGACAGGAAATCTGTGGATTTTACTGGGACAAATCAATAATATGTCATTGAATTGTGAGCTTGATCTTTGTTTCATATCGTTTGTCATATCCATATCTCCTTTCCAGATTTAGTAGACTATTAGTAGGATATTTAGAAGGGCGTTCACAGATTTGTTTGAAATCTGTGTTTGATATTTGTTTTGGCCTAAACAGAAGAAAATAGATAAAACCACCAAATCTCGCATAAACAGCCATTTTTATGATGCTACTTATCTTGCACAACTTTTGGTTTGGCAAGGATTTTCTATTTATTGTTTAATATTTATTTTGACCAAAATTATAATTCCAAGTTTAGGACAAATTTAAATGAGTAAAAATAATGATGAAAAATAATTTGTTCTGAAATGAGCAGATTTTGTTGGGATGAATGTAGAGCATTGTATGTCTTTTCTGAGGCCACACATTGGAATACATGTTACTGCATAAACTGTACAAGAAAAGTTCACCGATCATGACAGGAAGTGTGTGGGTGCATGTAACATGGCATCTGGAGCAGCCATATTACTCAAAGGCTCCCCACATGTTTTTCATGTGCTGTACACCACTTTAGACTCAAGCCGTAGTGTTTAAGCACATAGTCGGTGATCAAATTAGAAGTCAACTCACAATTGTCATTATGTTATAAATTTTGACCACTCTACAAAACAACCGTAACCTTGTTTTGCAAACCCTAAAAATCGTTCGTTTATTTTTCTGGCGGTTTCCGCTGGGGTCTATGATTGCTCGTATGTTTGTATGATGATTACATAGCTCTTTGATTGAATTTGGCCTGTATTCCCTTGTATATTTTGAGCTGAAGGCATCAGAGGTGAGGAGATTAGATTTGTTTATAATCACTGAGGCTTTGAAATTGACCTCTGTGTGTTTGGATGTGTGCAGTGATGCATTGGTCCATGACGGCACGGCATTGTTGCCTGTTAGACCCACACTGGTCTGTTTGGACCTCAACCAGGGATGTCTGACTATTTGGCTTTGCCACGCAGATGCTTTTTTTTTTGCCTGTGATTGCTGTAGAAGTGCCAGAGATGCATGCTGAAAATTCAAACAATCTCAGATCCCAAAATTGAAAAGAAACTTTTATTTGAAATAAATATTACAGATACAGAACAGCTGTCATAGTTAATTGTAAGTTAACGTACAGATTGAGTTTAAAGCAACTGACAAACTTTTCAGTTAGACTCATGTTATTATACTAATAATATATATAAAACGTAAGATTATATATTGTATATATTATTAGAATTATTATATGTTTATTAACAAAATTATATTAATCTATTTTATACATTTTATTTAAATATTATATATTTGTGTGTGTGTGTGTGTGTGTATGTATATATATATATATATATTTTTTTTTTATATATAATATTTTCTTAATAATACTTATATTAATATTAATAATATAATATAATCATATTAATAATATTATTATATTAATATTAATAATATAATATAATAATATTAATAATATTATTATTTTATATTGGTTATATTGCATACATTTTAAATTAAGATTACATTATTTATTATTATTAGTAGTAGTAAATATAAAGTTATATATTAATGATTAATATTTATTTGATTACTATTATTATTATTATTTATGTTTATTAACAAAATTATATTAATCTATTTTATACATTTTATTTAAATATTATATATTTGTGTGTGTGTGTGTGTGTGTATGTATATATATATATATATATTTTTTTTTTATATATAATATTTTCTTAATAATACTTATATTAATATTAATAATATAATATAATCATATTAATAATATTATTATATTAATATTAATAATATAATATAATAATATTAATAATATTATTATTTTATATTGGTTATATTGCATACATTTTAAATTAAGATTACATTATTTATTATTATTAGTAGTAGTAAATATAAAGTTATATATTAATGATTAATATTTATTTGATTACTATTATTATTATTATTTTCTTCTTCTTATTATTATTATTATTATTAATAATATTGTTATTATTATTACACCTATATAATATAAAAAATTAGTTTAGCATGTAGGAATGGCTCAACTTGTGAAAAATAATAAACAAAATAATAAAATTATTATGATATTATTGTTGTTGCTTTATAATGCAATATATTATATATTGTATCTATTTTTTACCAGTTCAGGCAACCTATGATCAGTTGTTGTTGTTTTATAACAACTTTGGGTTCTATAACAACTCGACTGAGAAAGAAATACTTTTTAGTAAAGGGCATCTCTTACAACTCTGTAATTCGCAAACATGTTATACGTGTCAAGGGTGGTCTTATGGATATTTCCTTTAAGAGTGCATGTAAGGTGTACTCAATCTGCAGTGTATTAAATATGTATAATACAGCTAATCAAAAGGGCAGAGCTTCATTACCAAATGACACAGCGTGGAGCCTGAGGTCTGATAAAAGTAGGGTGCATTAATTAGGGAGAACAGGGCTCCTTTCTGCCGTCTCTTATTAAATTACTGTTTGGATTAAGATCAAAAATTCATTACTGCATGCAGTCAGAGCTGGGACAGTGATAGCGGAGCAGGGGTTGAGAAAGAGAGAGAGGGCAGGAGGAAGAGGAGAAAGTGAGGCGGTGAGAATTAGCTGCCAAACTGGTCTGGTTACCGTCACAATAAAGACCCCAGAGAGGGAGCGGAAGAAATGTTTCCTACTGAAACATGACTGTGACATGGTGGCTCCAGGTGGTTTGAATGAAAACAAGTTGTTTGTGTGCATGTGTGTGAGTGGAATGCGTGTATGTTGCGTGTTGTTTGTGTGCATCTGAGTTTATCTCTATATGACCGTGTGTGTAGATGTGTTTTTTTTTTTCTTTCAGCTCATCAAGAGCACGACTTGAACTCATTTGAGTGTTCTCCTAAAAATGCCCATAACAACCTCAAGCTCAGGAAGCAGAGTAATCAAGTGCACCCTAATTAGGAGCCAAGGGTGGATCAGAGGCTCCTATAGCCACCCCCCACCCATTGCCACCAATTACACTGCCACTCCAGATTAGCTGATAGGCTGCAGTCTAGGACTAGAGGAGCTTTGGTGCCCTGCCATCCAAGCCACACACTCACAAACACACATTGCAAAGCACTCCAACTTCCAGCTATGGATGTATGAATACATTTCCCCAATTGTGGAAGGAAAAGTGGATCAGTGCAAGCCGATTTATTTTCAGGGTGATTTGTGTGTCATTTTGCAATATGGGATTTTGGATGTTATAATATGTTGACTTTCAACTGATCTCTTTAAATATTATTAATTAATTAATTAATTGTTGTTTTACCCCCAACTGTGCAGGTTGTTTGGTCACAGTGGAGCCTGCAATGCCTGTGGACAGTCTATCCCTGCCAGTGAAATGGTGATGAGGGCCCAGGGTAACGTCTACCATCTAAAGGTGAACCATAGCCTGTTAGCAAACACTAATGCTTTGTCAGTATTAAAAAAAAAAAAAGATTAATGAATGATTAGGGCTGCACGATTAATCACATGCGATATTTAACGCGGATGCGCGTTAAATATCGCATGCGATTAATCGTGCAGCCCTATGAATGATACAAGTGTCCATAGGTTCCTTTTTTTTTAGCTCAGAATTTTGAAACAAAATAAAACTCAGTGGAATGATGGCCATCTTTCTGGTGACATATGCTAGACTTATGTAATAATTCTGTCCACCTAAACCCACTCCTTTCTTACAATGACTGCAAGCTCACATTTACTGATGGATAGAACCAAGTCCCCGATCAACACTTTTTTCTTTTTGTTTCTTTTGACGGATGTATGTCACTATACGGAAGAAAAGATATGTTGCTACTTTTGTTATATCATAGCTTTATCTGACAACAAACTATTAGAAACAAACAGGATAAAGACCATTTTGACACTTGAATCTGAGAAAAGATGAGCCAAACCTGTCTATCACAGGACAGGTCATAGACAGAATTACAACATCGAAACTTGTATGGTTACCATTTCTGAACCAATCCCAAACACGAGGGAATTTGTTTTGTACATTGCAATTACCTAATTTCCTTTGACATTGGCATGTAAGCCAGCAGGAATTGCTGAACATAAGCTTGAGTCAGTGCCTCACAGTTAGATTTATGAAATTTTACTTCTTTTTGAGTATTGCATTGCAACCCCCTTAAGACTGGAAAAAGTTGAAAGACTGAAATGCATAATTCTTGCAAAACAATGACTTGGACCCACATTCCTTATCTCCAGAGTGAGAATTAGAGAGATTATGGTATTAATCTATGTGTTTATACTTCACATTATTTGGTTGGAATGGAAACATCTGTAAAGACTTGAAGTAGCCTTTTTTGAGGAAATATTTCTCTTTGAATTGTCAGCTGAAGTCTTGCATTTACTGAACACTGATAGCAGGATAGTCTCAAGAGACGCCAACCAAAACTCATCAACTAACCGTTTTCCCAACTGCGCCACACATTCCTTCCTAATTATAGTGGTGTAGGTGTCAACCTGTCTTAATAATATTTGATTGGAAAAGGAAACCATTCCCTGATTAAGATGAGTGGATCAGTTTGGTTTCCCAGTGGTCCATGTTTGCATAAGTTTGCAAAATTGGGTAACTACATCCTGACAGAATTTCTAATTTGTGAGTATCTGAAGAAATGTGAGCTTGGAATATAATTGATTTTTTCAAACACATTCCCCCCCTAATTCTTCTAACAGTGGAAAAAATATTTATCTAAAGGACTTTATATATAGGACTATTTAGATATACAACTTTCTTTCTAAAATCATGTCATATCTAAAAATATGAAAGATATGAAAGAAAAGATGTCGCTACTTCCATTTCCTCTCAACTTTAATCATTTTTTAGTTTAATTGACTTATTAAATGACACACGAGACTTCCAGTGAAATAACTTTTTGCTTTGTTTTTCTTCTCTCCACAGTGTTTCACTTGTGCCACATGTCGAAATCGTTTGGTGCCTGGTGACAGATTTCACTATGTCAACGGCACCATCTTTTGTGAACATGACCGACCAGGTGGAGCTTTGCTCAGTAGTCACCTGACCCCCCTGCAGAGCAACACCCTCCTACCCGACCAAAAGGTATGATATAAACACTGCGACTTGATAAGAAATCTTTGTGCAAACCTATTAGTGTCAATGATATCCCTCAACTTGCATTTAAAGCTGTAACTTTAAGTTACTTTAACAAATGTTGTCAATGTAAATTTGTACTAGATAATAGAAAAACATTTGATAAAAATGAAGAGGGATTGCTATACTGCATTATTTTTCCTATTTCGGAAACAAACTGATCGGCTATTTGATCTTTGTACACAGGTGTGCTGAGAAAACATGGATTTATAATTTACGGTGTGCCTTTTCTTCGTATTTTTCCTCACATCTTTCCTTCAATCTATCATTGTGAAAGTCCACCCACAGCCAGGATCTTCCACCCCACTTTCGTGCATCCAGCCACCTTAGAAGACGAATTCATAACTACGCAAGTACTGTGAGTCACTTGCGAGACAATCACCCCTGACGAGGGAAACGTAATCATATTGAAGAAAGTCGGTCTGTCTGGTCATGGCTGGGATGGCCCGACCCTGAAAGGCTTAGACTCTTAAAGAGCAGCTAATTAAAGCTGGGGTGATGCTCAACATGATTTTATTCCCTTTTGAGAAGTTTCTCAAGAAATGTTGTGGACATTACTTGACATTTTGGACTGCGGGGGTCTGTGGATTATGATAGATATCACTACTTGCCCACAAAATGACATCCATAGATCAAAAGACCGTTAAAACTCGCAGTTTGTTTCAGTGGTGGTTGCCTTTTGCTTACAGGCTCTTTTCACTTTAAGTGTAATTTTATTCTATCTTTTTTTAAAACGCTCTGTCGTCTTTGGTGCCTAAAAAAACTTCTTATTTCCTCCTTTTATCATTAGCAAGTAATCATGCACATGCACAGTACAGATACGTGAACATGTATTGTTTTGTCTATTCGAGTTTATGACATATGAAGCGTAGACTGAGTCGTAGACTGCAGAGGAAACAGCATGTTTTTTTTCCCATGGTTTGGTAGAATAAATTATATGTCTGTATGCATATTCTCTAATAGAGACTGCTATTCAGTGTCTGCCAAGATGTTTGGGAGAGTGAGGGAGATGGAGAGTAAAATTGTACATATTTCATGTGCTCTTGTATCGTGTTCAATGGTTGACCTGTTTCCTTGTGTCCTCTGTTTAAATGGAGGAGCTTTCAAACAATAAGATATCTGTAAAAGAAAAAAAAATGCTTAATTAAATAACTGTAATCATCACAAATGCCGTCTTGACATCTCTGCTCAGTGTACATCAACATTTGATGGTTTTGGCTCAGTGTGTTGGACTTTCATTGGAAGTCGAGATGGCTCTCCAATAGTCCTTGGCCAAAAACACGGTTCATTACCTCCAGATTTCAACACAAACTCTTGCATCTGCATCATTATAGAGAGTAATGAAAGGCATTTGAGCTGGCACTTTCTCTTTCTCCTGCTGAGATTTCAATCTGCGGGTCTTGTTAAAGGAGGTCTTGTGCATCTCTGTGAGCGTCTCTACAGAAATGAACATTAGATTCCCGCCCTTTTCTTTCATCTGGCCCTCCTCTCAACATTTCATTTACTTCTTCAAAATCTGCCTTTTTCTGATCTGATTTGCTGAGCTTTGAAAAGTTTTCTCATTATGGCATTTCTGGTAATTGCCTTTTGTCATTAAATTCCCCCATATCTTGTTTATTTAATTAGCTAATTAAACCCATCTCTGTTTTATTCAACTACCTTTGGCCTGCAATCACAAGGTGTTCCTTTCCAATTTACTTTTATGATTAATAAACAAATGTTCCTTTCCCTTGCGTTTCTTAGGAGAAAAATGGAAGCCAAGCATACCATATTATGGCTGTTGGTTTGTGTGTATGTTGGGTAGGGGGTGTAAAAGCCAGCTGTGACTTTTCACATTGAAGAATTCTGTGTGTTTGTGGAATCTTAAAAGTGTGGGGTTAGATCACACTGAAAAAAAAAACTATATTCAGTGTGCTTTCTTTATATTATATTATATATAGTACTCTGGGGGTGAGCACATAAAAGGTACCAGAGGATACAACCCAGCAGGCACACAATGTCATAAGACGTTGATATTTGGTTAAATTTCGGTTGTGACGTCGGATGACCAAAATTCAATGTAAATTCAATGTCAATGTTAAATTGATGTCAAATACCGACGTCAGCTGACGTTGATATTTTGTTGTTTTTAGGTTGTGTAACCAAAATCCAATATTAAGACAACGTCAAATATTGATTTTCAACCCAATTTTCATTTTCAACCAAAATGCAACGTCTGTCCAACGTCAATCTGACATTACATAGATGTCCGGTGCCTGCTGGGAAGATAAAAAAAAAATTATCCACAGTGTAAGTAGTTCTTTGTACATTAATTATACAGCAACAGCAGCATATATTTTGTGAAGCAGGTACTTCTTACAGGGATCATATTTGGGAGTTTGTGGCATCAAAAAGGTAAAATAAATAAAATAACATCACTGGTATCACTGTCAGAGCAAACATAAATTAGGAAAAGCAGCTTGAAGTGAAAGCTGCTGTGTGGTAAACACATTACGGTATGTTTACAGTATTGTGTATTTGCATTCAGATCGTCACATCTGTGTCGTACCATTTAACCAATTAAAATCATTTGGAGGTTCTCATAAAGCCAATCTGGCGTCCCATGCATCCTGACATCCTGAGACCATGTGCTTTAAATTCGGTGCTCTATAAGTGGCCTGAGATCATTAAAAAAAAAGTAGAAGAGAAATTCATTAACTTATGCAAATGATTCTAATTGCAATTATCTCCAAATCTTGATAAGTGAGAGGAGGGGATGGCAAATCTCAAAAATAAAATAAAAATATCCCTTGGCCATTCGAGTAGATCTTTGCATTCAAACGGATCATGCTTCAACTGTGCATGTCTAATTAGTTTGACATATTCAAAAGCCAATTAACGGTTTCTCAAATCAGAACTCTACCACAAGGTTTTGCCAAAAATTATATTTTTAAGTGCACTGATTTCGAGAAGCCCTTGTCTGTGAGGACATGCATGTAGTCCTTGCCAACTTGTAAAGGAAGGAGAAACTTTATTTTTAAGTGCACTGATTTCCAGAAGCCCTTGTCTGTGAGGACAGGCATGTAGTCTTCCCCCCCCTTCTTTCTTCAATTCACTAATTAATCCAATTAACACATGCAAATTGGTGTAATTACATTGTTTCCTCACCTCATGTTGTGTGAAGATGGGGAAAAGGCAGAACAGATGAAGAAGGGATATTTTTTTATCAGACTGAGGGAGGCACAGGCCATAGACTTCTATATTACTCTTAAACAACATCAAATTGTAACAGCAATAGGCCAGTTCGGCTACTACAACCTAACCTACAACCTAAACACAGGCTATATAAATAGATTATGTATCGTTCTGTGTGAAGATTATGTGATGTTGTTTCTTAAAAATATTCAGACATCTGTGACAATGAAGGCTCATTAATAAACAACATGTTTTTCACTCTAAGCATTTTAGATGGCTGGATTCTTTCCACAAGCAAAATGTCTGTCTACACCTCACGCAAAATGGGGTGTGACGCGACGCAATCAATCACAAAACGCAGCCAATCAAAACAGTGGATGCATTTGAATGCTCTTTCTGCAGCTGAAGAGCATAAACCCAAGACGTCAAGTATTTTCATGACTTCTGTAATGCTTCACCAGACGGTATGGATACTCTTTAGATGGTAAGTTTCCTTGTGGAACGTGAAGGATTTGTCATGTCATATATCCGATAGCTAAGCTTTTACAATCAGCATCTTCTCGTCATTGTTTGATGTTCAACATACATGAGTGACGATACCTCGGTACAATGAGATTGCAGTGTGGGCGGGGCAACCTGGCGTGACGCAGCAGAAATACAAACAAGCAGATCAATAAAATGCATCACTCTTTGCTTAGTGTGGTTGTGGCTTATTAGGACACAACAGTATCCTTTCTTTTTTTTCTTTCTTTAAACGGAGAAATAAACCAGTAAGAAGAATAAAAGGGAAGGGTGGAGGTGTTACTGGCAGAAACGAAAGACAGGTCAGCCATCATTAGTGGCTCTCATTAGTAGACTTAGCAGAGCAGTTCTTGTTCCTAATGACCTTGTAACTACTTTACTCAGACAGGCCAGTCAGTCAGCAAACAACACCAGAGAGCAAGTGTCTGTTTTTATTCACAGATAAATATTGTGAGGATATAATTTACTGATGGTCAAAGTACATTTTTGGTTGTCAGCTCATCTTACTACCAAGGGATTTATGTGGCTGTAAAGCACCTCAGGGACACGAAAATAGACTCAGTAGACACTGTTGTCCCAGCAGCAGGGGGTGTGAGGTCACTGGACATAGTGTGCATGTCACTGATAATAAATGAGCATGATCTGAGCATAACCAAGGAGGAGACAGCCAGTTGTAAGAGAGGAGAAGAGAATGACAAAAATGCTTCATTAAGGTGGGGGGCTGTGAGTGCACGGATGCTGGACAGCAATTCCATCCAATCAGAAGACTTTGAATAATTAAACTGATCTTAATTCTGTTGTTGATTTAGTTAGAAATAGATGATTGCTATGATACAAAATAATAATAATACATTCCAAGTTTTGGGGGTCAATGTGACTTTTTTAAAGACATTAATACTTTTATCCAGCAAAGGTGCATTAAATTGATCAAAAGTGACATTATACAAAAAATGTTGATTTCAAATCAATGCTGTTTTTCTGTTCATCAAATAATCCTTAGTATTATGGTTTCCACAAAAATATTAAGCAGTACAACTGTTTTCAGCATTGATAATAATAAGAAATGTTTCTTGAGCACCAGATTAGCATATGAGAATGATTTCTGAAAGATCATGTGACACTGAAGACGGGAGTCATAACCGCTGAAAATTCAGCTTTTCCACAATAAATAACATTTTAAAATGAAACTGAAAAAAAACTGCTTATTTTAAATTGTAATAATAATAATGTTTCACAGTACTGTATATTTGATCAAATAAATGCAGCCTTGTTGAGAGACTTTTCAGAAACATTCTGAATGGTAGTATATATATAACACTGGGATATTTATTTTAAAAAAGGTTACGGAGCTCAAACTGTACTTCATAACAACAATGACCCATTTAATCATATTAAAAACTTTCAGAACATTCCATGTAGTGTCTTCTCAGTTCCCTGTATCTCTGCATCTGGGGTCCCTGTCCAGACCTGATCCCTCTAGTTAATTGTCTGGGTTACCTTCAGTTGCCTCAAAGGCGTTTTGTCCTACTGAGCAGCAGGAGAGCATGCTGTGGATTAATTGCTTTGGTTTTGATGCACTATTCCCCTCTCTTGTGAGTACAGTAGAGACATGCTGTGTGCTCGTTTAAACAACAATGGACAGACACCTGCTTGTATACATGTGTGCATGAACACAACACATTTTATGTGACATAAATGTTTGTCTTCAGTTCCAGCAGCACAGCTGAATGCTTGAGTAACTTTGTAAGCTTTTATAGCCAGTGGACCTCATTATGAGATGTCTCATGAAACTTGATAGCGTGCGGCTCTTGGCTGATGGGTAACATTGGGTGGCATGACCTAATCTGGGCCTAAGCTTCCAAATAACTCATTAATGAGGATTTTGTCATGCTCTTCACAAATGCAGACATATTAAAACATAAATAATGTATATGGAATTACATTTGACCCTGTCAGATCGAAAGCAATGGAGAGTGAAAACTCAAAAGCTACTGATCCAGGACCCATTCCACATCTACACGCATAAGGCTTCATGATGGAACTTGAAAAAAACTGATCCTGTATCCGCTTTTGGAAAGACCTCCAACCCAGATCCGCCCTCTGTAGTGTGCTGATCTGAGTTCTTGAACAGCTGCTCTAGGGTCGGCTTTAGAGGGGCCGCCGTGACCCTGGGAGCTAATTAAAGCAGATGAGAGCATTAATGAGCTCCAGGCTGATCAAAGGGCCGCAGCTTGGCCTGGGTGGTGGGAGATGTAGGCAAGATTGGAGGGGAGCTCTGTTTACCCCTGTCAGGGTCAGTAATTGGGAGGGGAAGCACACAAGCTGTTCCTTTTGCGCAAGTTGAATACCTTTACAATGGACTGTGAGTGGGCCACATCAGTAACTTTACACATTGGTTGCATTCCATCCTCTGGTCAAATGGTGTTTCTAGTCAGGGAGTACTGACCCTTTCCAGATAATTTCTTGATTGTTTTTTATTTTTACATTGCAATGTAATTGATTGCATGTTGATTGCAATTTAATTGAAAATTACTAAGCTAACTCATACAATTTGATTGCATAAACATCACATTAACTTAAATCTTTTGCTGTTACCTGCTAGCTAGCAATAGTAGAACTAACATGTTAATGCAACTAGCAAAGAGACTATCCCTATGCTAGTGAATGTATACAGTTAAGCAACATGCAACATAGTTTTAAGGTTTTGCAGCCCATCCTTGACCTAACCACACACATAACAGAAACCCCTATAAATGATACAAAACAGAACATTAAACACCAACATATCTCTCCCTGCATTAACCTTGTGCAAAAATACACAAAAGATCACTAAATTTCAACATTTATTCTCCCTATACAGTCTGATCCAAAGCATGCTGGGAACTAGAAATCTGCTGGAACTCATTATAATCAGTTATTGAGCTCATATAACTTTTTTTTCTATTCACTCTCA